AGAGAGAGAGAGAGAGACAGAGAGAGAGAGAGAGACAGAGAGAGAGAGAGAGACAGAGAAAATATAACCTGAACATATTCCCTGTAGCATGTCAGAGAGCCAGTTTTCTAGCTTCAGTAGCAAAGATACCTTTGTCTGCTGTAAGGCCTTTTCCACCTTACTTGGGTCATTCACCCCACTCATGATGGACTGCTGCTTGCATTCCAGTTCGCTCAGCATATCCTTCAGCCTCTTCAGAGAGTCCAAATAATCCTGGCTGGGCTGRCAAACTGTCTCTGTTATGGTTGGGAAGTGAAACAAAAATAACATGTCACAAAATAGACAAAAGAACCAAATTAGGAGACACAAGAATATAACCAAATCRGTGGATTCATTATAAAATTCATTAGAGATACTTGGAAACTGAATCCCACTGAGTGACTCCAAGAGCGAAAACTGTATCAAAATAGACTTTTCTGATGACAGTAGTTTTTCCTTTGAAAAAAGGAGGAGGAAGAAAGAAGGACAACTCTTCCTTACTCACACACACACACATCCCTCTATAACACCATTCTTTCCAAAGTAAAGAAACTAGTAGGGAAGAAAAGGGCTGCTGGAGAGGGGTCTTTTTTTTTTTTTTTCCTCTCTCTTCTCTCTTCTTTTTTTCTTTTTTTAAGCACGCTGCTCCCTGTGCTGGCAATTCATCTTTCATCTAGACAGAGGAACATTCTTGAGAGTGACCATTCCCACTCCACCCAAGTTTAGTTTCATTTTTAGACACTTCTTACAAGCACGTGAGGGGAGGRAGGAGAGAGAAAGGAAATAAAAATCAATAGGACCCAAAACTTTCACATGCCTAAAATCTTACAATCTTTTAAGTTAATAACCCACTTTTATACCTATATACATACACACAAATAGAGCAGCTATCCTATTATCAGGATACAGACACGCTGGGGGTGATGAAAAGAGAAAAGAAGTTTGGCCTGAGATTATGCTTAGAATTGTTAGTTTGCATCTCTGAATTTSAGTCTTGCCTCCTCCGGAATCCCACACAGGGTGCACCACAGTCATTTTGGAAAGTAGTAATGAAAAAYTGTATTTTAAGAAACTAGAGCAAACAACATTTTGGTTTTAAGAACACCTTTGTGTTATGTGCACTCTCTGCACTCAGATACCAGAGCAGTTCCTTTACTGCCCCAAGTGAAATTTAAGCTAAGCTGGGCTGTGACTCACCACTTAGCGTTTCTACAGGCTATTGTCACACCTGCCCTTCCATTTATAACTACCCAAGGAGCCAACATTTCAAAGGAGAACTATAACTACCCAGCTCCTTTTCTTAAAAAGCCAGGAGTAATTTAAAAAGAAAAAAAAAAAGAAAAGAGGATTAAAATGCAGTCACTAAAATGCAGAAAATCCTACAGGAAAGTAAAATAGTTAAGAGGAAAAATAAAGTTCCTCACTTCCTCATTGATTGGAAAACTCCCACCAAAACGCCAGCGAGATCATACTCAGGCTCAGCACCGCTCTTGGCACTGGCAATTTTCAAAGGCTCAAAGAGCAGCGACTAAAGGAGCTGGACTTCTGGCACTAGGAAAGCCTGGCAGGTTTAAATGTTCGATTGCTAACGCTGCGTACTTCTGCCCATTGCAGGACTCTGCAAGTTTCTTCCCGGGAGCAAGTCAAACCACGCTGCAAACAACTGCAAAAAATTATCTCAGATTGGCATTTCCCTCCATTCTCCAACCATGCCAAATTCTTCTGACAAAATCGTATACCTCTTGCAAAAGGTGTATATGCAATCTGTCAAGAAACTATTATTCAAAAAAGCTACACAAATACAAATTCAATACACTAAGACATGCAAGTTTTTTTAGTAAATAGTAAGTGGTTGAAATATACAGCTTTAACTCATGCATGGCATAAAAACAAAAGAGTATTTTAATCACATCATCTAATAACCTACTGAAACACACAACTCCACTGAATTTAATCAAAATATATGAACTAAGTCAAAACAGACATAAAATAATTATTCCTAATGGCAAAAATGAAAGTCCATTCTATAGTTTGAGCGTGGGAAGCAGAGATGACCCTCACACAGTATCCTGTACTGATACAACTGAAGCACCACTCAGACTTTGTGCAATGCATTACACAGACAGCTTAATAATTCAGTAACTGAAGCTATTTTTATTACACAAAGGGAAAAAAATGTGTTATTGCCCCTCCATATGGGGCCATTAGCAAAATGTTTCCTCTAATTCCTCAGACACATAAAATGAAAGCTAGGTAAAAAGAGTATCTTAATAGGTCTGTGCTTTTGATGTTCAGCTGTAAGATAYTAACAGAGCTCCACACTCTGTGCTACATCTAAAATCTGACAGAAGCCAGAGTGCCTGGTTTGGACGCTCATAATGAAATTTTAATGCCGCAAAAAGCCAAGCAGAATGTGCCTGAAAAGCAAGCCAAATGCCAAGTAACTTCAGGGATGAAATTTCCAAAAGGAATTACGTATGACTAATGAGCTCAACACAGCTGTGAAAGAAAACAGTTTGCACATGCACGTTCCAATTTTACAAGGTTCTCCTCCTCTAACGTTTTGCTAYTTCTGGTATTATTTTCTTCTGCAGTGCCTGAGGCACATGCAGCTCTTCAACCTGTTTCCTCCACCTTAAGTATGTTCTGCTAAGTCACTAACTGCAGTTTCAGGAATGCTGTGTCCTTGCACAATCATTCCATAACAGTAGGCACATCAGGCTTCGCACAGTGCACAGAGCAGGCACCAGGATACTCATTTCTTCCAGGTGAATAAAAAGATTTTTTACTGCCTGATCCTAAGCYTGGTGGAATCAGCGGCAAAACCAAAATTGCAGGAATTCAGTGAGTTTTGCATCAGGTGCTGTCTGAATAACTTTAAAAAGCAGCATATAGGGAAATCCTTCTGTAATCCTATCTCACCTGTATGACCTTTTTAGCAAATAGACACACAACATCTTCATGGGATGTCAAAATTCCATCTTCAGGACTAAGAAAGTGCCCAAGTACTGCATGAGGTGCATAAGACTGCTCACTGAGATACCAAAAAAAAAAAATTATCCTTAGAGGGAAGAGAAGCACACAGTCATCAGGGTAACCTATGTAAAACAAYATTCACCTTTCTTCAGCCGTTGGTGACGTTCCTCCAGTTTCTGACTAGTCAGCTTGAAGCGATCCAGAAAAACGCTCAGGCTCTCCTGAATAAAACTGGGGGCCGCGGGCTGAGAGGTGAGCACCCTACAAGTGGATTTCAGCTCTTCCAATCGAGGGCTCACGCTTGAGAGATGAGTTAACTGCTCCTGTGAAAAATTAAAAGCAAAACCAAATCACATACTGACATCTCTTTCCGAGGCAAGGTACCACAGCTGAGCTGTACTATAGGGCAACAATTTGTACGTATTTTTGAGACACAAGTACTGAAACTCTCCTGTCAAATTTGGTGCTCCAGGCACCTAAACAACTCTACGATTTCTTACTGATCAGGCTAAGCTCCTGATAAAGCCTGATCAAGCTCCTCCGGGGTATTCCGTGCTACCAGTTAACTTCCTACCAAAATTAACAAGTCCTGACAGACTTACCTGGGCTGCTGCAGGTTGGGATGCTGAAGAGCTGTCATCCTTCAGCCAGACTTCCTTTTCAGTTACAGTCTTCTCAAGTTCACCCATCTCCCTAAAGTAACCATTTATGTCTTCCTGGTATTTGATCTTTTTGGCCACTTCCTCCAGATACTGACTCACTTCTTTCCACCCTGACAGTACTTTCTCCATCATGCTTCTTATATCCTCTGTAGAAAGTCCCTCTAGAAAGATTATAAAATTTGTTATCTTAACTGCAGCACATGTTGATAACGGGAATTCAACCAGTCTGCTCTCCAGATACAGGCACACATTTGCATTAACATCCAAAATGCTTTACTTCCAAGTCAGTCATTCACAGAACTGGATTTATTATTAGTAGGCTTCAGCTTTTTACTTTAATGTTAACAATGAAAGGAAGAGCATGTCAAACATCCCATTTTCATTCTAGCTCTTTGAAAACTTTGCAGTTTACAATGATGAGCTGACTTTCTTCACCAAAATGTTTCTCTATACCACCTGGCTCCCTTCCCCATCAGGGTTTATGCTTGAATTTTGGTATGCAGATATAGAGATAAGCCTTACTCTAGTAGCAGATGTCCAATGAATTATTTTCTTTGCTGGGTCTACAACCACTCAAAGGAAAAAAACACAAACAAACAAAAAACAACACAGAGAAGCAGCAATCTGGAAAGCATCAATAAGTCCATCAAAGATGTGGGTGGAAATCCTGCCAGGGCAGCCCAGCAAGTTTGGAAAAATGCCTAGCAATCCCACGTTATATGAAGGCATGATTAACATCTAGGAAATAGGAATTGCTACAAAAGCAACACGACAAAACACATGGTTATTTCCAGCTCASAGGGGCTACATGAAGAACTTTATATACCATCTTTTTGACTTATCAATGCAAASCTGGGGCAGAGCAGCATCAGTGAGCAGACACATCCACCACACATGCAATCCTTGTTCCTTTAGTCCCTCAAGTGGCAAAAGTAACTGAGGATTTTGCCTATGTGAAGAAATTTCAGTGCAATGGCACCTAGCAGCACATCCTTACAGCTGCAAGCCTGTTTCAAGTTACCACTGCTTTTGAATTTCTCGTCTCTGTCCTTTAGATCAGCACATAAGGAGGAGATCCATACGGAGTTGGCTTTCCTGCACCGCGGAACACAAGCGGAGCCCGGGATTCCTGGTAGTCAGGCAGCTTCCACAAGGGCACTTGGATGCTCTGCTCCACGCAGCTGCCCTGTGCTACGTGCAGAGCGCACAGTGGATTCGGCCCACGTGCACAACAGAYGTAGCCCTGTCACCAACGAGCCACGGACCAAGGGCACCCACACAACGGCAGCCTGAATGAAGGCCAGAACTGCCTGTACGTGCCCCGTGACAGGGGTCAATGTATACGTATATACGTCTGTGCCGTGCACTACTCTACACATGTACAGCTGGGACTGGTTTTGGATAGAAAGACTGTTACTGTGAGATGGAAATAATATCCTAGTAGAGGCTAACAAAGCTGCAGATCAGTTTCCTATGCCTTATTTTCAGTGGATCACAAGACATAAAGCATCAGGAAATCATTGCTATATCTTTTATTTTTTCCCTCTGATAAGAGCCAAATTTGATCATATATTTCTCATTATGACCAGATACTGCTTATATAGCCAGAGTGTATCACAGAYGGAGGAAAGAGAAAAAAAGTCTCTTTTTTTTTTTCCTCTCTTTTTTTTTTTTTTAAACCCAAACTCCAGCTCAAATCAGTGTCTTCCAGGCATCAGCCTTAGGGCAGTGGCAGAGCCTGATCAATGCACACCCAGGCCAGCAGGAAAGCAGGAAGCTCCAGGTAGAGCAGACAAGGGGGAGAGGTTTGGAGACGTGGAGCAGATCTGTGTATCCCGGCACGGATGCCGGCCAGAGGAATATCTGGGAGCTGGGAAGTCGCCCCAAAGTCAGCACCTTGTAGGAGAGTCAGGCTGCCCGGAGCGGTGACTGGAGACACGGTCCCCGAGGGCCTGGCTGAGCCCTGTCCCTGGCAGCCAGGGCAGCAGCGCGGCCGCCTGTGCCTCCGGCTTTCCGCAGGGAGCTGCCTGCCCTCGCAGGCTCCTGCTCCATCTGCTCCCACTGGAACCAGGCTTGGGCAAAGCTTCGAGATGCAGCTTGCACGGATGTTAACTGCAAGTGTCCCAGGGAGCAGCGTTTTAATCAAGTCAATCATCTCCCCAAGTACGTAGGCTTCTCTCGCCTTTATACCACGAGTTGTGACTGTATCATCAACATACTGACAGGTTTTACAAAAATAGGGGAAACTAAGGAAAAAGTGTGAGAGAGATGCACATATTGTCTAACTTATGTTTCGCTTCAAATTTGCCATCTTTAAGGCAGTTAATGTTTGAAAGTCTTATACTTAAATTCTCTGCATGATTTAAAAGCACGYAACTACCTTTACAATTACTTCTGTTTCAGTATAAATACCCCTTAGACTGCAAATGAAGAAAAAAGAAAAAAAAACACACAGCACATGAAGAATATTAATATTGCTTTTCCATAATTCTTACCAGCAAATGACATGTTTTATTTCCTCTAAYAGATAAAAAATGGTGAAAAAGTGAAGGAACATATCAGAATGTTCCATTGGAAATAGCATTTCGTTATTTTTTTTCCCTAGCAACTCACATAATTAAACCACAAAATAGGAAAACCTTCAAGTTTCTTACCCTTTCCCATTTGATCCAAAAGAATCTGTGCGCTTCGTTTCAGTTCATCCAACTGTGAGCTTTTTTCAACCCTTTCCTTTTCTACCACCTATGAATTGAAACCACAAAAGAACAGTTTCAGAGAGTGCCACTTTCTTGGCTTTTATTTCCTGTAACATTACCCTACTGCCACACAAAATACATTTTAGGTTTCTTGAATAAAGCACTTAAATGCGTGTTAGCTCTCTGCTTGGAAGGAGCTAGCTCTCATAAAAACCAAGTAAGAGATTAGTATAATCACACTAGGAAAATAATAATAATGAAAAACCTACTAAACGAAGTCATACATTGTGATTTGCATTCAAACATGCCATTTGTGGCCAACACCTGTAATTACACTCCATAAACCACTTGAGGAGGAAGGATGTTTGCTTCTGCTGTGAGTCTGAAGAGCCTGTCACCTGGAGGGCCAGCTGGCAGGAACTGCAGCCCCTGCTCCTTCCTGTGCTCAACTCCACTGCTTCACTGCTCTCCAGGACAAAGGGCTGTCGAGGAAAATCTTACATCCCTATGAAGATTATCAAAGGAACAAATTCACCCTGAAGGTGTATTGTGCTAATGAATATTCCTGCATGAGCCAAAAGGAAAACCACGCACTTTGTAAGGCAGAAAAGGGCCCTGTGGCCGTGACGTCAGATGCCCCCTCAGATATCAGCAAAGTGCATCTCCAAATAAAAACCCCTTTGAAACCACTGCCCAAGGTCATTACTCTGGTCTAGGTGTCCTACACTGAATGCAAAAGATGCATGAAATGAAAGCACTGGCAAGAACAAACACCCTCCCACCCATCTAGGACCCAACCATTCCAAACCCAGTGCTCCGCACTGGAACCTGATGTTCAAATCCTGCGCCGGAGCCTGTTCCACACAAAGCTACAAACAMTTACATGGCTCTATAGACACCTTATCGGGCTGTTTGGGGTTTACAGGCAGCAGCACTATTCCTTCCCACCTGCCAAGTGGCACCRTTTGGCACCAGAGCACGGAGCCTCTTTACGGACTGTGTAACCGCTGCCACCGAGTCCCCAGGCAGACGGGGACCCACCGACACTGCCCAGAGCCGCCAGCGCCGGGGCGGGCAAGCCGGGCAAGAGCACGTTCCCGAAGCCCACGGCATCCCAGGCACAGGGGGGCACTGCACAGCCCCCCCAACGTCCTGCGGGACAGCGGGGCCTGCCTGCGGATCACCCGTACCGCGCACGGTTGCAGCTGCCAGGGTTCTCTCTGAAACGGGCAGCAAGCAAGGAGGTATTGAAGCACTACTGTGAGGGGCCACCACTGAGTCCAGGTGCTGTGGGGTTTGCAGAGGGGTTCTGCATGACACAGGGGAATCTGGGCAGGCCCTTGGCCCTTGCCAAGTTCCCATGAAGGTAGATTCAGCCAGACCTGTATCCGACTGTGAAACACGAAGCCAAACAGTGCTGCTTTGTGGAGAACGCAWCCATCATCAAAACACACTCACCAGACCTCCCGAGGTAACACTAGCACTATAAATGCGAGGAGTTTTCTGTGCCCTTTGCAGCCCTGCACCAACAAAAGGCTGTGCCCAGCTGCTCCGAGCCTTCCCTGCTGCCCAGTTCTGAAACTCTTTAACAAAAGGGACTTAATCCCCACARGGCATCCGGATCAGCCCGCGAGCAGACAGTGACAAAACGCACCGTTCACTGCAACATCCTCCATCCCCTCGTTTACCTTCAACTTTTCTTTCATGCTTGAAGTCTCTCTCATTTTCTTGTACTCTTTGATGTCTGTGGCCTGAATGGCAGCTTTTGATTTTGCAATCCAGTTCATCAGCTCAGCACTTTCAGCATCAAACCTAGTTTAAAAGGTCAGACAGATTTTTTTGTCATTTTCCCTTATTCAGTCACTCTGCCTTAAAAAAAAATAAGAAGTTATAAAGCCCAACACGTTCCTCAATCCTCCCCTCAAAGTAAGGCTGCCCACTGAGCATTCAGCCCTCAGACTTTTACTGAGGGGCCTTAAGACATGGACAGGCTTTCAAAAACAAAACGTCAGTGGCATTAGCCYCTCTGAACAAACTGAAAGGACCTGGCGTCATTTCTCCTTGGTGTCATTTTTTCAAAAAATATCTTCCTGCAAGTGATTATTGTTCCTTCTAACATAGCATAAATGACATTCCTCAATGCTGAGCTTTTTTTTTTTTAAGTAGTAAACTAAACCAGGAACACTATATATTTTTTTCTTTTTTTAGGCTTTAGAAATATCTGCAACATTGTCCAGGCTGAAGAAAGAGCTCCCAGCTCAAGCGCTCCCGGTAACGACAGCAGACAAACTCTTCTGARTGTTTAATTGATGAGGATTGCCTTCTGTCTTAAGTTTTTGTTGTTGTTTTTTGTTTTTTAATCACAGGTGGATTTATCTGTTCTAACACAACTTTCTCACATTTAAAAATGCATTAAAACCAAAAGCCTCTTCTGTTCCACTCCTYCCCAAAAAATCCCAAATTAATCAGTAATCAGAGCTCTGGTGAGAAGGACAAAATAGATGTATTGCATGAACTAGGAGTCAGCCAATATTAGAATGAGACTGCTTGACACAATCTAAACCCTAACACAGAGTAAAAGCCTGCCAGCAGGTACAGAAGTTACTGCTAGTCACGTGGAAGGAGGTTGGGGCAAACCTGCAAGGTTCTAGTTACGGGGCATTTGCTGTGGATTTGCTCCACACGAGCCACAGAGGAGAGGCAAAAAGAGCAGATGGAAGTTCCCACTATTTCATGCACCTCTCTACTCCAGTATAGCTTTAGTGCTAGAAAAACAATAATGACCAAAATCACATCTGCTTCCAAAGCCTRAAAAGGCTTCAGCAACTCCCGAGGGATGAGCAGAGGATGGAGGGGCTGCTGCCTGTGTTATTACACTGGGAGCCCCGACGTTCAGAGGTTCCTCACAGGCTTCTGCTTCTCTAAACTGCTCACAGGGCTTCGGACAAGATTCCTCCCCCCTCTGAAGCTCCATTCTCTCTGGAGAAAGGAGAGAAACAAGAAGAGCCCCTGTGCAAGCACACATCCATCAGGTGCATGAGGAGCAGCGCGAGGCCGCGCTGCCTCCAACCTCCCTGGACAAGGCGCCGCTCATCCCAACTACGGACACGGCGGCTTTCCTCAAGCACGAGGAGCAAAACGGTGAGTGTGCAGTGTCTGCTTCCTGCATTTATCCTGAAAACAATCCCACTTGCTTTAGGTAKGATATCTAATAAAGATAGTCACACATTTTCATATATTTTTTCCTCCTTTCCATATGGGGAAGGAGGGAAGTGAAGCCACTGGAGAGATACATGTGGACATCATTGTAATGTTGTTCTTCCTATGAAATATCAAGGACATGGGATAGTTTTTCCTGAGTTTTTCTGTRCAAACAGTTTCTCTGATATATGTTAAGGGGAATCGAAGAGAATAACAAAWAGATCAAAATACTTGGCACTTTTGCACTGCTTTTTATCCGAAGATGCAGAGAGCTCTTTCCAAAGAGARGCAAATAAAACTAACTCTATCCTTCAACAACAGAACTGAACTATAAAGAGTCGAAGATTTTCTTTTTTGAGACATAAAACTTCGGGCTCCCTTTAAAACTAATGGCAGATGTAGGTTTTCCGTTGTTCAGAAACCAAACCAATATATGTAGCATTCCCTCCTCCCTCCCCAAATCCTACCTCACAATCGCAACTTAGGCCCTTCTTGCATTGAAGAAGATTCAAAAACCAAAACACTCCGAGAAACAGGCCCAGGTGGTCCCCGGGGAGCAGCAGGGGCGCAGGCAGTGGCACATACTCACTTCTTCCTGGCTTCGCCATCCCCTGGGATTTGCCTTTTCTTGGGAGGGGGCGGCGGGGGCAGCTCCTGCCGGGACTGTTTGACCTGCTCCTTCAGTAAGGCTGTTTCTGCAGGGGTCTTCGGGGGAACCTGAGACATCCCTATGCTTCCCACAGCTTGGGTTACCTGTRCAAAACAGTTTACCAAAGGGGGTTAGACAGTGTTTCAAATACACCCCAACTGTGAATCGCTTCTGTTTAGTTTTGCTCAGTCATAAAAATTCCATCCGTTCACATATACGAGCAAACGCACCCAGCCTTCATGTAGGATTTTTATCACAGATGCTAAACACTCAAAGAACAACATTGTTATTTTCATTTTACACATGCAAACAAAACACCCAAACTCTCAGTTCAACTAGAGACTTTAGACTGAGGAAGAATAAAAGCATGAAGGCAGAATTTGGACTCCCCAGCGCTTCATTCAAATACAAGACCACAATGAAAGCTGGATGGCTGAAACACTTAACACCACTGCCTCACTATCAACACTGGCACAAACCAAAAATCAGTTCTATTTTCAACAGATGAGAAAATMCAGCCACAGAGCACAAATACTTGTAGGATTCTCATATTTTTCCACTCAAGAATGCCGGTAGTGTGTTGTTTCTCCCACTACATTTTTAGTTTGCTTGCTTTTTTAGGTATGAAATTTCATCCAATACTCTTAAACATTCTCTATAGCATTCACACTAACTGACAGCATGTGGTAAGACTGCTTCGCCCATTAGAAAAGTAAAGCTTAATCTTTGGGAGAAAGGAGGAATACAACTAGGAATGGGAATCCATAACCTGGGGTTTTGAAGACAGCCTTCTCACCAAAGAAAGTCAGCGTCACATGAGCAAACCAACCTGTCTCTCCTCTGATGCCAAAATCCTGACTTGGCCAATTGTGCTGACAGTATCAATGACGTTTGGGGAAAAAAACTGATAAGCATCTAAATAACTAAAATGTAAGAGAATGTTGTTGGTTACCTGATTGGAGTAATCCTCGAGCTTCTGAACCAAACTGTCCCACCTCTGAGTTAGTTCCTCTTGATCATGGTCAATTTTCTTGGATGCTCTGTTATTCCCAAGGATTTGGGCTACATCCTGACTGATCTCATTCAGTTGGTCTAGTGTCTGTCGCTTCATGCCCATGTCCTCTTTCAAAATCTAAAATTAAACAAAAATACTTTTTAAAAAAGATAAAAGTATTCTGACACATTTTACCTTGTATTTCCATGGAAAAATCCTACCTGCGCTAGATTTCAGAACAGTTTTCTTGTATAGCAAGGCACTTTGAGAAACTCTCAAAAAGAGCACATGCCTAAATCAGCTACTAGAGCAATCAGCAGTAGCTTCTTGAGCACCAGTTTCAAATGACTCACATAGCTAGAAGCTGTGCTAATGCCCCAGAAGCTCTGAACAACGCAGCTCACTGATGGACTGATGGTCTTTAGGAAACTGCAAGCGCTGCGAGCCTCGCGGGGCAGCTGCGTGAGGCACCGCACAGGAGCCTGCGAGTGGGTGTCACACCGATTTTAAAAACTGAGGATAAAGAATCCAGCAAGGGGAGAATTGGCGCCTGGCTCCCATGGACACAGTGTATTAAGGGCTAAAAGGAGCCAGTGTGACACCTTGCTACTCTTGCATCCCCTCAAATTTGGCGGGATGGACCCGCAGAGCGACACTCACCGCCAGTTTCCGAACATTGAYGCTCAGGTCTGTCTGATCTTTGAAGTTGCTTGTTTGGACCTTATTTAAAGCCTCTTCTTTCTCYGTTAACCAAGCCTTCAGTAAGCACTGCAGATCATAGGGAAATAGCACAAGGACAGATAAAGTTTCTCAAATAGCTAATGATAAAATCCTTTAAGATCTTTGCATTAAATCAAAATACAGTTCTGCAATCTGCATGGAGGAATTTCAGCTGGCATTAACAAGAACACTACACAGAGACAAAAATATCACATCACAAGAGGTAAGTAGTGTTTTTCAGCACAGAAATTTCAGCAAAATCTTTTCTCAAAATTTCGAGCCCCACCTTGCCAGAAGTTACTCATATAGATCAGACATCCACCAAGAGCTGACGTAGGACTCATCAATGCAGCAGAATGGTCTAAATGCCTCCTCCCCTCTTCCTCTGTTACTCAGAGCCAGTTGTTAGAAACCGTTTTCTTGCAGAAGCTGCATCAATGCTAATTCTGATCTCCTTTAGTCCAGTCAGCCACAGCCTCAGATATTTATTAATTACCACCTTGTTTGCTGCACCTCCTGTCTTGTAAAATAACCTTAGCAAACACCATCTCATTAACACCTGGAAGCCGGGACGGGTCACAGCTCTGGACAGTACCAGCTCAGGGCTCTCTCCTTCTAGGAAATCTGCCCTGAGCCTTTCCCTTCTTGCTTCAGCCAGGAAGCCCCCTAAGGCAACTCCAGCTATACCTGGCCTGAAATCTCAGGAAGCATTTCCTGTGCTTTACATTACATTGCATCAAATAGAGTTCAAACAAACTGCTGCTCTAGTCCCCATAGACTAGAGCACCCAACTAACTTGCCCCCAGCAAAGTTCATGTGTGGTCACACATGAGCTCCCTCTCCTAGTCTAAAAAAAACAAAGAAAATAAAATGATCCAGGGAGCCAGACGTTGATGTACATTGAGAAACCATATGGAGGCACCAGCTCCTCAGTCTAGCTCTGTGTTTTGGGGATTGTCCCAGAATTGGCTGGGACACCTTCTGGGCTCAAGGCTAGCAGAGATGTCCAATAAGCAAAATGTACAGACAGCAAAATACGATGCTGGAAACGCCATGAGGCTGAAGGAACAACATTACAGTGCCACATACTCACTGGAAAAACGGAGCTGGCATCCCTGCCTGCATACTRGCTGCTTAAGAATGTATATGTATAAAATTAATTTCTGCCAACTCAGCTGCCGAAGAGAACTCTCCATAGGAAACTGAAATATAATTATTAGAGTGCTAAGGAATAGCTGGCAGTGATTGAGGAATTCGTTTCCTGAGTGGCAGGAATTATGTTGACTTGGCAATGTGGTTTCCAAAAATTTTCCAGGCAGCCACAAAAAGGCTGATGCATCTCAGCTGCTCAACTCTCCATTTGGTTGAGTGGACTGAAAAAGTGGTAACACTCGCATCTTCTAACTATTTTTCCATTATTAAGATGTTTTCATTATTTTTTAATTAAAGTTTAATTAAAGTTTAATTAAAGTTCCCAGTAATTTTAATTTTCACTTCATTTCATGACTCTTGAACCTGGTAGTAATAAATGGATTTCAGAGCTGAACAAAATATGCAAACCTAGGCTGACCTGCATAACTTGAATAAACTTTTATTTTGTCGTCACTTGACATCTGACATTCTATATTAAATAAAAACTCTGAGAAGCTTTTGCAGTTCTCAGAGCAACAAATTACAGGTCACTCACAACACATCTGCAAGCAAGAGAGCTCCAGCAGATGACCCTTGCAATGGCTTTATAATAAACTCCCAGTCAATGAATGGCTAAGGATGGACTTTTCCTAGAACACTAAGTATGGAAGAGGTCAGACACACAGTGATAAGAGGGTTCCTGGGAGCAGTTTGGACCGTGACATGGAGTAAGGCTTTTCCTGAGCCCTGTTTCTCAGTTCAGTCTTACCTTGGCCTGGGGTTATTAAAAGGAGTTGTTAGCACCCCTGCCATACCAACACATACACAACTCTCAATACCACCTACCTTGCAATTTGCTGAGTTTAGGGAAGGCAGCGAAACGGGACAGGAACCACAGGCTCCACTATGCAGATCAATCACCAGATTAATCAACTGATTTGTGTATTACAAAGTTGTGTACATGTGTTTATACTGGAAGAATTTATAGYTCACTTGTGTAAAAAATTCCGTATTTAAGCTATCAATTACTTATGCATTCGTTGTCATTTTGGCATTACTGATATTCCTACTTCCTGGCCATTTTGCAATTCTTCACTGATCTTAAACCAAGCAATAGCATCTTGTTATTTTAAAGTTGCCTAATAAAAATATTAAATGCCTACTTTGGAAGTTATTTTACAAGGAGTTGCAAATACTCTTGCTTAAACTTAGAAAAATTAATTTCCTAGGCTGTGCAACTACTCCACAAGAAATGAGGGGAAYATAATCATCTTTTACAAATCTAGGCTATTTTCAAGGCTATTTTCTTATTGAGTTATTATATAGRCAAACCTGCATATATTAAAAAATAAAAATAAGCAGAAAAAAAGTATATATGCACTAGTTATACAGCATACATCTCAAAGAAGGACATGCACAAACATCTTTGCAGGGTGACCAGGCAGTTCAGCTTCTCCTTGTATAAGGGATACTAAAGGAGGAGGCCGGGCTGCCTTTACCCAGGSTTTGGCTGGTTTTCCACGTTAGCTAAGAGAGCTCATCAGCAACTCGCCCTTTCTCTGCTCTAGGCTCAGCTGAGTTCCCAGCAGCTTCCATTTCAGATGGAACAGATTTTCATTCTGTACTTCATTTCTCTGGACAAGATCTGAAACCACACTGGAACCTGACTCATCAGACTTCAGTCAGATCCAGCTGAGATAGCAGCTGTCTTTTGTGACTGCATCCAACAGGATGTTCTTGGAGGATGCTAGCATCTTGGAGGATATTAGAAACTAGTTTTTCMATTTCCACAAAATAAAGTGCAGGGAAGAATTCCAGCTTTCAAATCAATCTGTCATTCCAGGTAATSGGAGAATAACTAACCTGCTCTTCTAGCAGCTCCTGCCATAGAAACTGAATTTCTTGCAATTTGAGTCGTCGTTCCTCAGTCCAACGGCAAACTGCTGTCCACCGCTCCCCAAGCCTCTAGAAAAAGCAAAAATACCCGTGAGCCTCACAAGGAAACTCAGAATCAGACATTCAAAAGCACAATTTCTACCTCACAGTATCACAGTAACCTCTTTCTACATTTCAATTTTCTCACTGTCAGTAATTGCCATTGTTGTATTGCACAAAACTTAAGAGTCAAAAATTTTAAGAACATTCACCTATGGTCTGAACTCTGATCGCTGAAGGCAGCAAAATTTTGGTTGATTTCAAAAGCAGGAAACAAACTAGTATGAATTCGGTTTCAACAAATCCTGTCTTTCATAGCTGCTATGCTTTGTTTCAGGATACAGGGTATTCCTATAAATTCTGATCACTTCTTAAATAACAGCCCGTTAACAAACCACTGAAAAGTACCCATATATAAAAATGTACTACATATCTTCCYATTTTAATGCAACTGCTGAAAGGAGGCACTGCAAAGTGTCAAAGTCTCCCTTTGAGACTTTGYGGAGTCTCCTTCTCTGGAGATCTTCCAAAYCCKCCTGGATGCCGCCCTGTGCMCCRTGCTGCRGGTGTCCCTGCTGGAGCAGAGGGGTTGGACTAGATGATCTCTAGAGGTCCCTTCCAACCTTAATGATACTGTGGAAGTCGCTAAAGATACAGGCAGATGGACACGTCAGCAATTGTGCTTGAAGGTCACCAAGGCACTTTTACAGGTTTTGTCCTTAGCAAGTTGAATAAATCTTCAGGTTAATATTACTTTAAAATGCTTTTTAAGACAGACAGTTTACACTCTGGTTTAACAGGCACCTGCACACATGTGGAGTGGCTGTGATCACATCCCAGAGAAACCTCCCTACCTGCAGCTGCTCCTCGAGGAGGGCCGTGGCGCCCTCCCCGCTGCTCTCATCCACGATGACCACCATGTGCGTGAGGGAGTTGACCTTCACCTGCTCTGCCTCCAGGTCGCTCTGCAGGCTCTGCAAGATGCAGCAGGGTTATGAACATCAAACGTTTCAAAAATCTGCTGTTTTGGCCACAGTAACTACARCATTTGCTGTGGCAAAGCACTCGAGATTCTGCAATGAGAATCTCTCCTCTGGAGAACCACTGCACAAGTCAAACACATGCAAGCAGAAGATAGGAATCTAAATGCTAGATATGCATCTAAACCCATTCCATTAAAATGCTGGAAAAGAGCAAGGAATGCGTTGAGATGTGTGTGTATGGTAGCATATTCCACTAGCAGAATCATACAATAASCATACAGACTTTCTGACTTTCACCTACTGCTTATGTCTCTCTATAAAAACATAGTATCATCTATAAACAAGTATGAACATTTTTCTTTTAATGGTTGTCATTAAAATTATCTCACAACTAACTATAGATGGTGGTTTATCCATCACAACATTCAGGGGCAATAGTCATAAAAGGATACACAAGAACTGGAAAAAACATTCGTATCCTATTCACTTTGCAATAATTTAGATATTTAATTATTCATATGACTTCTAGGAGAATACAATCCATGGTTAAAGTTACTTTTGAAACATCTTTGCGATGGAAATATATCKTTTTATTACTAAAAATATCACTTTTCAACTCAAAATAATCCCAAATCACCCCATGACCACCACACCTCAAGCTCCCCAGACTCTGAAGACCGACGAAGGAACACAAATGTGGGACAGGAAAYGGCACACACTAAAAATACGCAGCAGTTCTTGCCCTGTGAGCTATGCCCCGTGCTGGGGAGRAGGTCAAACCTCAGCGCTGACTAGAGCCACCAAAGCTGCAAMTGTGACGGGCATCAAAAAGTCATCTCTTCTTCACAGAAGAGAGCAGCATGGAAAGGCTAGACCCCTCCAGAAACTTTGCTGAGCATTACGCCAACTGCAGAGTGGTATGTATCAGAGAGCAACATCTACGCACCCTGCCCATGATGCAATCCCTGTAATAACAGGGACTAGGTTCAGTAACTTGGGAGGAYCTTCCTGTTATTTTTAGCTCCCACATTATTTTAAGCAGTGAACTTTCAGGCTTGCTTTAGTAATCCCAGGCAGTCATTAGAAGCAAATTTGACCACTCGGTGTTTCAGACTCCCTCACAGCAACAATTCACTGAAGAGGCCTCATTTTCTGCATGAGGTAAAGACAAAAAAGGCTTCTGCTACAGTTATCACTGCTCAAGTGTTAAGAAAGTGCTTCCAGAAATGTCCAATTCTCTGCCACAATTCTTCCCATCTAAACACTGAATGAAGGCAGCCCCTCAAAACACAACCCTGTTCAGGTTCTGACTCAACTGAGTTTCTCTGCTAAAGGAACCCACACCATACAGATCTCGCCAGGATCTCCTCCACGGAAGAGGTAGCAYAGAGCACACAAAAAGCTTTACTTTGTGTTCTTCCAGCTGTTTCYGAAGAGCCTCTAAGTCCTCGGCCAGGAGCTGCGCCTCCATGTGCTGGATGCGTTCCTCTGTGGCCRTCAGCCAGTCGGAGAGCTGCTGCAGCTGCTGCTTCTGCAGCTCCATGAGCATGTCGTGCAGGCTGCAAAGCAAAGCAGARCCACTGCAGAAAGCCCTCTCCCAAGAAAGGGTCTCAACTCTTGGTGCTAAAGACAGCCAGCCGTTCATAAACCAGTTAGGTATAAACAAATAGAAACAAACAGATTGCTTAGCATGAACATAAGGAACAGAGTTAAGTTTCCTTGTTTCCTTCCCAAGAGAAGTTAGTAAATTATTCAATTTATMAAAAGGGACTGTTTCTAACAACAGGGATTTGCTGCAAAGGGAAGCTCTGCTGAAGATGCAATGAAATGTATTTTGTCTCTTGAAAAGCTCTAAGCGTGACAACCYGTATGTGGGGAAAATTTTTCAAAACACTCCTTAGCTGTGTAAGCACACAGAGCTACTCACATCTAAGGAATGTTTTATTTAAGAACTTAAATTACTGAAGTAACATTAGAACATAATTATGTAACTACTACAGAGATTGTAAACATTTAGCTGGCAAAGAAGAGTCACAGAAACACTTATTTTATGTAAAAGTACAAACACAGTTTTATTGATTCCCTTTGGTTCATGGCAGGAAGTCAAAGGAGGGTGGATCTTATGTCACAAAAAGAGAAGATGAAATTGTGACAAAATCCTATAAACAGATGCAGCCTGATTCCCAGGAGAGGCAGGAGGTGCCAGGGGCCTCTCCACGCGTGGCCTGACTCACCGGGACTGCCTGTCCATGCTCTCCACGCGCAGTTCCTCCCACCGGCTGTTCAGCAGCTGCATTTGCTCCTGGATTTCGTACTCCTCTTCGGGCGACAGGTTGCCCTGTGCCACCAGCTGGTTCCCGGCCTGCAGGACACTGCCCACGCTGCTCTGGTGCTCGGTCAGCTCCATCATGAAAGCCTAGGAAAAGCACAGGCAGCCACAGCTCCACTGGACATCACCTGGTGTGCAAGCGTGGCTGATCCGTGTCCCTGCCAGGAGGCTCCCCAGGAGCTACAGAAGTCCTGGAGCCAGTAAAACAAAGACCTGATCGAGCAATAAAAAGGGACTTTGCCTCAGAGAAAAAGGTTTCCGCCAGGAGACAGCCTTGGAACAAAAGCACCAGGGAAATTAAACCAATGTGCTGGCCAAGAGCACATTCAACAAGATCTAATAGGCACTGCAAGAAAACAGTTAAAATGCTGTGAGTTAATAACGCTAAAAATTCACATATTTAACAAAAATCCAGGTATCTCTTCATCTCATTTATAGCTTTATAGCCCTAGCACAGAAGAAATATTCCTCATACCACTCATCATTCAGATCTTAAATAAAATTATACGCAGTAAGTTGACAAAGGTAAAAATTACAGCCTTTAGATACTCATGTCTAACACAACATATGAAACTTTGAGCAACACTAGAACATTTGTTCAGATCTGAAACAGAATCCAAACAAAATAATTTGGAAACAGGAACCATGTTGAAACAACAAGATGTCATGTTTCTAGAAGAAACTATGCTAATCATGAAAAAGAGGCCACTGAATTAAACTGACATGATTATCAGCTTCAGCACTGCTATCACTTAACAGCAAGTGGCATAGGGTCGACCAGGCTTTTTAGTGGTTGACAACAGAGAAATGAGAATCAGCCTGTATCATAATACAAAGAAACCATGGAGCTGGTCATGGAAAGCTGACAAACTGAATTTAAGTTTCAAAACAAGTTCCACTAAATTCTCTGAAAAAAGATGCTTCATCTTCAAGAAACTATCATTTACCAACAGAAAAAAAAAATAGTCAGTTAGAAGTGATTCTAATTCAGGAAAAGCAAGACAAAAGAAACAAAATAACAGATTTTAGACATGAACTATGAAATGGAAGTGCTATAAACCCTGTCCCATGCTCCCCTGCCCCATAACCACAAGAATTTTCAGGAAAAATCTTACTTCGTGGGTAGAAAATTGTTCTTTGACTTCCTCAACATCATCAGATATTTCCTCCTGTTCCCGAAAYGTATCCTCTGCAGACAGCAACCATGTGAGGACTTCCTCCAGGGCAACCTGGTAGCTATCCAAGTCCATATCCACCTCTGTCACGGTGCTGGGAGTCTCTGCTCTAGAACCACCCTGCTCCTCTTCAAGTCCCACAGCCTACGCAGCAAAGAGCAAAGTGACACTTTAGACATGCAAAGAAGATGCTTTCCCAACGGGACTAAAAATAGAACAATTGAGATCCCTTTCAATACTTCGTATGACATTAAAACCAATTGGYGAGTGCATTTTTAGCACAAAGGGCCAGCAGACACTGCCAATTAATTTTAATTAAAAAAAAAGTTTGGATAGAAAAGACATCTTTAATTGTGCTTATTAAATGGAACAGCAGATCACAGGAGAGCAAAAGCAAATGAAATTCTGTCACTTCTGTGACAACAGCAGCCAAACGTAAGGGCCCCAATGCAAACTCAGTTGGATTTTAGGCCACCCTCTGCAGCTCATCAAGATAGATGAGAAAGAAAAGTTGAAGCAAGAGGCATAAAACTGACGGAAATTTCTACCTCGGATAGGATTTTTAATAGGAATCAGAAGAAAAGCAAAAGGAAGATAAAACCATGGAAGTCAACCACGAAAAAAGTGCCAAGGCTTTTCTTATCTTTCCAACTGTATTGTACATGACAGGAAGTATGTTGTAGATAAAACTAACAAGCCTGAAGACTAGCTAAAAATACAAGTCGGGAAAGGCTGGCCAAACTTTGATGACAAGCACACCTGCTGCATACTGAATTCTCCATCCTCACATTCCTGTTTATATCTCCTTGGAAGGGTCTCCACCTCACGGATGTCCTCCATGGTGACTTGCTTAGGAAGGACCTCAAACAAAGAGGTTAAATACATGATAATAGACTTCTTGTCTGGAAGCTGCACAGCAACATCTGCGTCAAAATAAATAAATAAATAGAAGCAGGTAGGGGGATAATAAATCAAGAGACTGCTTTTCTAAATCACTACCTAAACCACAGCTAAGATCTCAAACACTCTAGTAGAAACATCTGCTTGTTCTATTAATTAACCTCCTGTAAGCTTTAAGTTAAAAGGTCATGTTGGACTGGAATAACTGAAGTGCAAAGCATCACAAGCAACTAAAGAAATATAAAATCATTGTTACTGTAGAAAGTGAATTAATAATCAGATTACGTAAGTTTYTATGAAGAGTCTAAAGCTAAAGTTACTGAGAAATTACTACCATTTTGAAAAAAATTGCTCTTGAGCATCCTCCAAGAAGAAAAGGAGTTCTGGAACGGTATCCTCCATAAACAAACACTTCAGCATGTGCCCTGTTCTCACTCCTAGCACTGCTCAGGACACTTTCTGGTTTATAATATGGAGGAGTGTTCCATAAATTCAGCTACACATTCCACAGGGATTATCTATTCTACCCACTCAGCTGACAGCAATTTTTAAAGGGGTGATGCTTGAATCTGTAGTTTGAGAGCTTTTCATACACAGTGACTCTTTGAAGGCTGATTTCCAAGCAGAGTGACAACCCAAGGCTTTAGAAAGGGACACATATTTTCACAGCAAGCACCCCAACTGGGCAGGAATTCCCAGCTACAGAATGGGTATCAAGCAAACAAAATATCACTACACAAAACCATCGGAATTTGTATTTATAGTAAATATCAGTTTTTTTTTTTCCCAGAACAGCTCAAAAGCCAAACTTCCAACTAAGTAAAAACATTTATATCTCACCTTCAGGATCCAGCAGCTTTTCGATTCCCAAGTGGTTTTTGGCTATGCTGAAAGCATGTTCCAGTCTCTCAACTGGGGACATCTTTATAACTTTATCCCAGCTGAACAGCTCAGGTCTAAAAACAAAGACAACACAGAAAAGTAGTCGGTTTTAATTTAAGCAAAAACAAATCTGTTGAATTAGAAGTTATTGATAAAAAGGTAATTGTCTAAGTGATATAAAACATAAATATATACATATTTATAAAATACAAATATGTGTTTATACTCAAATATATATAGAAATACATGCCTTTTCTTTCTGGTGAGAGTTTTGCACTAACAAATCAARTAACTGACTTCATGATCACATGCTCACAGCAATATCCATCTTGCATTCTATGTATTGTGTATATGCTACACAACTACAACCAGAAATGAGTGAGACTAAGCWGAAAATAAACTACTCTTTCAAAAATCACAGAACCACAGAATGGTTGAAGTTGGAAGGGACCTCTAGAGATCCAACCCCTTGCTYCAGCAGGGACACCCAGAGCACGGGGCACAGGGYGGCATCCAGGCGGGTTTGGAAGATTCCCAGAGAAGGAGACTCCACAGCCTCCCTGKGCAGCCTGTGCCAGGGCTCTGGCACCCTCACAGGAAAGTTCTTCCTCACGTGGAGATGGAACTGCCTGAGTTTCAGCTTGTACCCACTGACCCTTGTCCTGTCATGGCCACCACTGAGGAGGGTTTGGCTCCCTCCTCCCTACATTCTCCCCTCTGCTACCTATACATATTGATCAGATCTCCACTCAACCTTCTCTTCTCCAGGCTAAACAGGCCCAGCTCATTTAGTCTTTCCTCATACAACAGATGTTCTAGTCCTTTAATCATCTTTGTTGCTCTCTGCTGGATCCTCTCTAGAAGCTCCACGTCCCTCTTGTCCTGGGGAGCCCAGAACTGCCCCCAATACTCCAGGTGCGGCCTCACCAGAGCTGAGTAGAGGGGCAGAATCACCTCCCTCGACCTGCTGGCAACATCCTCCTGATGCAGCCAGGAGCCCATTGGCCTTCTTGGCCACAAGGGCACTGCTGACTCATGATGAACTTGTCAACCAGGACTCCCTGGCTGACAACCAGGACAATTAGTTCCAGGAGCTGTTTTCTCAGACACTGCTTTTACAGCATTGTCCTGCAGGCTGCGAGGCAGTGACAAGTCCCTTTCCAGAGAACCTCCACCCACGTTGGTGCTGTGGCTCAGGAACCAGCAGCTCCTGCTCCCACCAGGAAGAGCAGCAGCCTGCGCCACCACCTGCCGCTCACCCGGCCCCTCTACCCTCTTCCAACATCCCAATCCCAGGTGCTTGTGCGAGCAAGGAGTTACCTCAGCCGGTAACAGAGTCAGATCTCTATCCCAGTCCTGCTTCCCAACCCTGGGGCAGGAGCGGGGCAGCGAGCGGGCCCCTCCGCAGCGCCCGGGCCCCGCGACGCGAGCGGCTGCGGCCCCCGCAGCGCGGCCCTAACCGCAGAGCTCCTGAGAAGGGCCCCACCGGCTTCCCACTGAACCACTGCCATCGACCTCGTGCTCTTACGGATCTCTGCGAGGAAAACGTCGTCCTGCCTTGAGTTCTTTTAATGTGTAATATGCTTTTAAATTGACCTGAGCTTTTAACGTCTGTTGAGTCATGATACTTTCTGAAGCAGGAAGGACATAATTATTACAGCAGGGGTTAAGGGGCAGAGAGCCAAAAAGGAAGAGGGAGGAAGGCACAGGAGAAAAAAAGAAAAAAAGAGAAAAAGAGTTTCTAACATGAGCTAATGGAATACCCTAGTGTCAGGCAAAAAGCAGTTAAGTTAAACACACAAGATTCAGAGTTTTAACGTTTTAACGGAAATTTATTAATTTGAAAACTATGCTATTTGATATACATATATGCATATATAAATTTTTTTTTATATATATATATATAGTGTGCGTGTATATATTATATGTATATAGATAGTATACACACTATTCACACACTGCCACAATGATWCAAATTTTAACAAAATGCAGTTTAGGTATTACCCAAGAGTAGGAAAACTATCAAAGAACAGCACTCAATTCAAAGGTGAACTGAGCTAATACTTGGAAAGAGCCCAACACAATGAAATGTTAAACMTCTCATTACCTCATAACACACCAAGTCCTGCAAGCATTAGAAAGTTACTACATAGTTTAGAAATAGCATTATTAATCATTTATGATAGAGGAAAAAAAAAAAGAGGGGAAAAAACAGCTATTAAATCTCTTCAGGGGATCCATAAAAATAATCCCCTAAATGTCATAGGACAAAGCTAAATAAAAAAAAAAATTGCAATATTGAAGATATCTATTAGTCAGGGATGCRCTGCGGTTCCTGGTAAGCTGAGGAGTTTTGCTGTCCTACCACCAGCTCTGCCACCTGCCTCAAGGCCCGGCTCCTTGCCTGTTGCAACTTCCCTTTGCAAACAGACCTGCACTCAGAGCCAGCTCAAGATTCCTCAGAAAAATGGCAAAAAGGGGTTCCCTGGTAAGAAGGCTGCTCCTCAGCAATAGCAAACTGCATCCCCAAGGGCTGGCAGCTGCCACATTCCCCGGCGTCCTGCGCTGAGAGCTGCTGCCTAAAGGGCCGGGGGAGCAGCGCGGCAAAAGGGCAGGAACTGTTGGGACAGGACAGAGAAGAGAGAGGGAATGCACAAGAGGGATGCAAAGGCTCTGACCAACAGCATGTCAGGAAACTCCCAGATCCCGTGGGAGCCACAGGTGCTCCCGGGACTGCGTGTCAAGTCACTCCCAGATTCCGTGGGAGCCGCAGGCGCTCCAGGGCTGCGTGTCAGGCACCTCTGAATCCTACGGGAGCCACGGGAGCTTCCAGAACAGCGCATCAGGTACCTCTGGATSCCGTGGGAGTGGCGGGAGCTCCCAGGGCACACGTCAGGTACCTCTGGATCSCATGGGAGCGGTGGGAGCTCCCAGGGCAGCGCGTAGGCAGCGGGCGCAGGCTGAGCGGGCCTCCAGGGCTGAGCGCTGCAGCCCMATGCGAGCGGGCGCTTCCCTGGCGCTCTGGTATCTGCTGCCCAGAAACACCCTCTGCTTCTGGCTCATATATTCGGTACCATGTACAGCAGTTAATGTGGCGGCTACCTCACAGCCAGGAGCTCTGGGTAAGTTCCCTACCTTATCATGCTATTAACATGTTAAACTGGTCGATGAGGGTGAGCAATAACCTTGCAAAGCAATGAGCTGACTCCAGTTGGGGTATGCCAATGGATTGCCCTGAAGCACTTCCCAAGGAAAAAAAAGAGTGGAGGGGAGAGGCTGGAAGACATGGCATGCGAGCTTCACACGAGTCCGTAATGATGACTTCTCTAGACTGCCGAAGAGTTCTCCTAAATCARGAAGCACACAGAAGATCTTCCCAAAGAAGAGATGAGCTTATAACCTGGCTTGTATTCTGAATAACCAACCAAATATACTACAGATAGCTGAAGTATCCTATTACCCTTTAGTTATCCTATTACCTTTTAATTCTTCTGCACAGCATTCATTACATAGCACAATTTCCTGAAAGAGCTGAATAGACTGCCTTTCAGGAAAGATACAGTCAGAAAACAAGAGCTCAGGGCCCAGGGCCTGTCTTTGATATCCCTTCTTTCTGAAGCTGCCCTTCATGTCCACACTAAAATGATGGGGATATCGTTCCCTTTTCAAAGTCAGAGGTTGGGAGAAAGCAGAAAGGAAGGTATAAGGGAAGGAGATGGTCAACTCACCCCCAAGGATCCATTCATCACATTGTTGTTCACTGCATACACTAAGCGGATTTAAATCAACTCAAGTAGTGAGTGTGTGTGCACGTGTACAYGTAGGAGCACAGTTACACTGCTGCCCTGACCATCATCTGCAAGGAACTGCTGCTCTGGCAAGCATTTCCTCATTCCTGTCTCCACAAGAGAAATGAACCATTGAAACAACCTAGAAAGTGTCAAGTATTCAAGCACAAAGACACAGAGAAAATGCTGCTTGCTTCATTAGGTGCAAGATAAGCCAACATTTGCCACCTACTTGTGCCTGTGGACAAGAGCGTTGAAAGCAAGTCCATCTGCCCAGCTGGTGGTGAAGTTGAGAACGTTGACCTGGCTGTAAGGCCTCGTGCACTGCCGAACCCAGCTCAGCAGGATTTTCTCACTATTGGTCTGCTGCAGATCGGACATGATGTTCTTCATTACATCCTTCACCTGCAGAACAGAAGCGACAGCAGCTTACAGATACACCGTCCACTTTTTTTCCACACATAACCCTTGCAGCAAGCTTTTCAACGAATCCAGAAAGGCTCTTTACCATGAACAGCCATGAGCCAAACCTTCACTCCTCACATGAAATCTGGGGACGGAGCAAACAGTTCTCTGCATTCTCCTGAGTACAAGCCCCAGTAATGCTCCATGTAATAAAATAAATAAAACCCCACATTACTCATAAGTCACAGACCTCCCCTCTTCCTTAGGGTTGCCTAAGCTACATGTAAGGTATAATATGCCCCACTACCTYATGCTGGGGGAGCACCAAGTAAGAACATCTTAACAAGGCCACACGTAAGGTTTTCTGCAAGAATAGTGTTTGGAAGCTTGCTGTTGGAGTCCTATGCCCAAGCACTCAGCCAAGTTGCCCCACGTGAATTCAATAATCCCCTCGTGCACGTGGATAAATCAGTAACAATTCAATCTACAATCTACAAGATTGAAAAATAAATTCACAGAACAGCATGTGGGAAGCAAGCCCAGCATTGCTACAGAGATACTAAAACACATGCAAATAGAAATGCTTAAAGTCTTGAGAAAAGGGTATAAACATGATGCTTTAGCCCAAAAGCTTTCCCAGTGCCAGCACTGCTAGGAGCTGACCTAGACGCCTGGGTACAACTGAGCACATACCCAGGATACATATTGTGGGATGCAGCCAACAGACAGAGATCGGAAACCAGACGCTGGCCTGCCCTTATTTACCAGCTCAAAATAGAAGTATTTTCCATTGGAAAGAAAAAACAAACAAACAAAAAAAAAMMAACAGGAAGTTCTGTGAGAATTCCAGGAGATGGACGCACATGATTCCTGGAAGGGATTTCACAAGAGCCTTCTCACCTGCCAATGCAAAATAATGCTCCACAGCAATCCCAGCGTCAGCTTGTGATTCCCATCAACGATGTCAGTTCCTCCAATATTCACCAACTCCACCTGGAAACGTTAAGTAAACTTTATGTCAAACAAAGTTATCAAATTCTCAAGCTGCAACTCCACCCCATGTCCCTAGTGGTCCAGCCACACATTATCAAATGTTCCGAGCCAATAATTAGGTAAAAAGAGAGAAGTGACATTACAACAGAGCACTGTCTATCTTAATTTGCCATGACAACTGCTTAAACACCACTACAAGTGAAAGGTCTGCAGAAAAAGACATTGCACTGGAAAAGCTTAATTCTCTTTTCCACTACACAGATAGGTACCAGCAGACCAAACTCACCGACAGACATGCAGTCCCAGTCATGCCTAAAAAGTCCGAGATGTTACAGAAACATAAAAAATTCCATAACTAAAAATAGGTCTGTCCTTCACATGAACCAGCACCCAAATGAGACACAAGTTTACACAAGGGGACTAAAAGGCCAAGGGAAAATTAAAWTTTTCAAGTTTTCTATATACCAACAAGTACATATTAGCCCTTTGACATCCTAAAAAAACTGAATTCTAAAAAACATGAAATTAAATAATAAAAAAATAGAAGCAAGTCACAGCTGTGCCACAGAGATTCCCACAGAGCCAAAGTGCTAAGGAAGGCTGTAGACTCGAGGACTGTCCTCTCTCAATTTCTAGAGCAGTTAGACCAGGATCCATTCTAACCATATTATATTAATACTATACTATCATAATCCTCTTGCAAGTACTGGGTAGACGCTTAAAACATGTATAAATTAAACAGATAAAACAATGGCTACAGAACCACCAATGCTTATGGTTAAGCAGTCTCCCTGGAAGGCATTCCAGAAGGCGAGAGGCAGCAAGCCCAAGGGAGCAGAAAGGAAGCAATTACATTGCAGGAGCTTTCGTGCACCTGCAACAAAGGCAAAGCTCTTCTGAGAGCACGTAACAAAACACACAACTGTTTCTAACAAGAGTCTTGTTATTATTGCAAGTAGTGCACTTCTCTGTACAAACCATAGACATCTTGGGACTTTTATTTTGTTTTTAATGCCCATTTTTGTATTTTACTGAGTAAAAAATAAACCACTATTTTGCAGCACGCAACCAGCAAGCCACTATGATGATCACTGGCCYATTAAGACTTACTGAAAGGAAGCTGAGAAAAGAGAGCTGAGAGCAGCTGGGCAAGTTGGCCTATAGAGTACGATTTCCAGGGGAACAGTCTTAAAGCTCAAGCCAAGAAAAGTGGAAGCTTAATAAATTAAAGCATTCTGCTCATCAAATGGATGAGGCCACTGAAGCAGTTGAAGGCCGACGCTGCAGCCTGGCCTGTTCCTTGCAGCATGTGCTTAAGCTCCCTTTCGTAAGTTATCTCCCAAGTCATAAATACGGCACAGCCTGCAAGCCCTCTGACAAGAGAACGTCACTGCTCCTCAGTGGATAAGCAGGAGGTATAAACCACGTACAGGAGGTATAAACCACCGATCTCACCTTCTGTTTAGGAACCCCAAATCCTGCCCACCRAAGGATGGACAGATAAATTACTGTACTTCAATCTCATTTTATTATTTCCAGATAATAAATCAATTTCRAACTGGGAAGACCCACTAATTACCCTTACAAAATGCAATTAATATCTACAGTACTTAAAGGGCAGGGGGACACCCTGTCAAATTTTCATCTTTTTTTCTAGAAATAGGACACTAGTCCACAACATGAAACGGAAAGGGTAGTTTTACACAGCATTTTCACATCAATTAATAGTTCATACAAATATGTTAGAGGCTCTGTGCATTAAACAAGCTCACTTCAATGCATTTTATTGACAGAGTTTTACTCTTAAATTCTTTTAGAGGCATGGCATTTGCAAACAGAAATTCCAATTATAGAGGTTCATGCTTCTTAGGAATTGTGCAGGGAAAAAACTTTACAACAGGGCTACTAATTTTAAGGCACTGGGGGTGGGGGAATTAAATAATTGTTCTCCTTATTTCTGAAGGAATATTTCTAATCAGTTACCGAAGTTACACACTGGGCACACAGAGATTTGACACTGAACTGACAGATCCTAACAGAAAGCTACAAAGATCCCAGGGCATTTGGAAAGCACACCATGAAAACCAGAGCTGCAAAACCTGCCACGCTCTTACAGATTTTGCACAAATTCTGCATTTTCACTGGAAATAAGCTAYTGGAGCAACACAAAACAGAGTTTCAAGTGAGCTCCTTGAAAACTGGAACTGCCTCCACAGATTTGTCTATGAAGTTAAACAAATCTCAGGGGGGAAAAAAAAAACCCCAAACCCTACATACACCCCAACGCCAACACCACGGCTTAGTTACAGCTGCAATATTCTGCAAGTTCATGATTTCACAAAACTGCAGCCACTGCCTTTCAACACCAGGTAGGTAAAAACTGTTCTCAGTCTTTACCATCTCACATGATACCCATTGTAGGCGCTGAGGTCTGTGGCACTCTCTGCACTGWGACCACGTTTACACATGAACATAAATTGAACTCTCCACCCCGAAGAGCTGTGGAAAAGGTGCTCACGTTGTTCTGATGCAGGACCTGCAGCACGCGGTTGACGTTATTTAAGGCATGGACTCTCGTGGAGCCTCGTTCTTTAGGCTGGAGGAAAAAGATGAAACAATAAATCACAGAATGAACTTGAGATTCAGGTAAATCATTGGTGCAGCAAAGAGGGAATTCGTCTGAGATTTCTCTAGATTTTTCTTTTCCTTTTAATTAAGAACAAATCCAAAAGAAGATCATCCAAAGCTACTTCAAAACAAACACCAAAGTCAGAACTGTTCATAGAACCATTCTTCAATTAAAGACACAGCCCATTTCAAAACACATTCCAGTTCACCATAAGCAACATGCCCACCCTTTTTGTTCCCAGAATCTGCAGGATTACGTATTGGCAAAACAACAGCAGAGTGGGAGCTCCTGGGATAATCTGAGCAGTTTGAGCGGGTGCCAAAGTAGCTGATATTTTTTGCTCCTGATAGGCAACAAGCAGCAATTTGTTTTTCTGGCATTAAAAGTCTGTTAAATCTTTGTGCACTGGGAAACAGTTGCACTTCCTGACTTTCCTGACCTCTTAGTATCACACGGAAAAGAAAAAAAGGAAAAAAGGAAAAAAGGAAAAAAGGAAAAAAGGAAAAAAG